GTGGAGTATATAAATGCCATAGTGACAATACTAACTTTTTAAATATGTCAAGTTCTGTAATACTTTCTCATGATCAAATTTATCTATGTGCACTTAACAATTATCAATTTAATATAAAAGCAGCTGAATCTTATTGTTGTATGGTACAATCATTTGATAAGAATGTCTCCAAGTTTGCAATTTATGATTGGTCTAGTAAATTTATAGCTGGACAATTTGAAGTCAAAGTCAGGAAGATCATATTGAATGATGAGCTGAAACAGCTGGTGGAATCCACACCTGACCACGAGAAACAAGCAAGATACTTGGTTGTGACCAGTCCACTGTAGTTTGTCCACAGAAGAATATTGTGCACTCCTTGTGACAAAGAAAGACTATGCATTTATAGATTAACCTGGCAGAAGCTGCTTGATCTTGGCTGAGAAATTCTCCCTCACCCTTTGTATAGTCTAGTCATTGCCCCATCCAATTACCGTCTCTTCCAGTCCATGCAACACTTTTCATATAGAAAGCAATTTGCAGATGAGATAAAAATTGCCCTTGCAGAATTCTTTGAGCCCAAATTTTATTCTGCAGGAAACTGTGATCTGCCCAATTGATTGAAGAAGATGCTTGAATATAACGGCAATTATTTTCTTGAGTAGTAAATTACCTTTTGTTTTTGAAATACAGGTATACCTCGCCTTACGTCGGTAATTGGTTCCAGGAGAACGACTTAAGTCGAAAAACGACGTAAGTCGAATTTACTTGTCTCCGAATCTACTTATCACTAGGCTAAACCATAAATTACCATTTCCCGGTTCTGTATTTTATTTATTAATGCATTTATACTAATATATGGTTAATAAAGATCTATTTTAAGCTTACAAACAAATAAATTTTAGTTTTTAATATAGTACAGAAAAAAGTAATCTAAATTTACGAATGCATGTACTGTAAATACAGTATATACTTGTAAATGTATAGAGGAGAAGGTGGTATTATGGAACCCCAATTACATTTTAGTGAATTGTAAACAAGGTATCATAACCACACCCACATTTTTTGTGCGAAAAGTACTGGTAACTAGTAATTTAAATGTTCCTAATTGGATTTTTCGCTAGTGTAATTATAAGTATGGTTTTTGAAGGCTTTTGTACAAAAAGTCCGAAAGTAGGCTTAGAGAAAATCGGGTGGTAATATGGAACCTTACTGTATATTTTCAAAAAAATGCTTTAATGTAGCCAAAAACAAATAGGAAAGGACAAAAAA